CGCGCCGCCCTGGCCTCACTCACCCTCTCTTCGCGGCTGGAATCCCTGGGCGCCGCCCTCGCGTTCTGCTCCGACCCAGGGCCGCCCCCGCCCGCCTCCTCCGCGGCCCCTGCGCCACCACCCCTCAGTCCGACTCCGCGCCCCTGAGCTCGGGCTCCCCGCGCCACCGCGGCGGGCGCCGGCTCTTTCTCTGACGGCCGCTACTCCGCCCCTCCCCTGACGTCAGCCGGCGGGCGGGTGTTCGAGCGCAGGCCACGAAGGCCAGCCTAGGAGGGAGCCGCGACCCGCCAGCTCGGGCTTCGCGCCCCGCGGTCCGGCCCCCGCTCATCTCCCGTCCGTGCCCCTGCCCAGCCGTCCCGCGCCCGGGAGTCGCGGATGCACCACCGCGCCGGGCGGTGCAGCAGGGTAGGGACTCCGGGCATTGTCAGGAGGAAGGGGACTCACCCGCCCTTTCCGAAGTGTCTCCTCAGGCCCACCGCGGCCTGGACAACCGGGCTCGGGAATGGGCTTAGGGGCTTTGGGGTGAGTGTTCGAGAGAGGGGCGCAGGGGAAAACCGTCTTCTCCTCAGGGCACACCAGAGTGGTCTGCCTTTTGGCCCCAACGCCCACTGGCCCCTGCAAGACTGCACGGGCCTCCCCAGCCAGGAAGAACTCCGTCAACGGAGACACTCCGCCCTTGCTTTTCCCACTCCGGGCACAGGGACCACTCAGCGCTCCTTGCCCGGCTCCTGGTGACCACCCTCAACCCCTTGGGCCAAGAGCCTACTCCCAGGGAACTGACTCCTGGTGCTACTGGTAGGCTGAATAACAAGCAACATGAGTCCTGGTGTTAGGACGAAAAAGGGCTGAGGGCAGCCGCACTGGAGATCTACCACCTTCAGAAACGTCCGTCTGCGCCCACAGCTGCTCCTAGAAGTAACTGGTAGCTCTGGCCTCCTGGGTGATGCTGGGGTGTCTTTGAACTGGGAAGGTGGACAAGAGGAACTCTAGAGAGGCCAGCACCCAGAGACACATTACACCTCCTGGCCAGGGCAGAGAGGTGAAGAGACAGGCCCGGAGGAGGCTCCAGTGGTAGCTTTAAACCGCCAGCAGCCCAGCTGGGGAGGAAAGCTTTAGGGCCCCGGGCAGCAGATCTGGATTATAAATCAGTCCGGACAAAAGTTTTTGTTCTGGGGTAAAACTTGGCATCTGAGAGCGGAGACCAGAAGAGTAGTAAAGATAACTGGGGATAACTGTTGTTGGATTCAGCAACAACTAGATCTTTGCTGGTGCAAATAAAGACTCCTCCCATATTGGCCAAAGACACATTTCCCAGCTCCTTTCCACCAGAGGAAAAGCTGTGGCCTTAAAGATACTGGAGATACGGAGCAAGCCAGCTAACTATTAGCATGGAGTGGGCAGTAGACAGAGAGGGAGAGGAAGATTGTGATCCCAGCAGTCACGCACAGTGTCTGCTTAGGTGAGGATGACCTGATAATGCAGATCCCCTCACCTTTGTTCTGTGCTGTAGACTTTGCAATCTGCCTCCACTACATTTTCTTTTGCCCCACCTTCAGGACCCCTTTTGTCAAAGTAGGTATTGTTTTTCTTACTTTGCAGATAAAATGGGTCTCAGAGAGACCTGCTCAAAGTCACGTAGACATTAACAGGTGAGAATGTGAAATCAGGCCCTGGGACTCTCAATCCATCTTTACACTAAGTCACAGTGGATCCTGACAACTTTTGAGCCCCAAACGTTCCATTTCCTGAAGTTTTTCCTTACCTTCCAGCCCTGCCCTGCACCCCTGCCACCCCCGTCCCCCGCCCCGTCCCCCCGCCACCCCCGCTGCCCGGGTATAAGGGTTACCAGGCAGAGACTTGAGCTCCTGGCTCCACCTGCAAGATGGCCCCAGTGGAAAGTTTAAAAAGGTGGTTTGGTTTCACTGGCAAGGACAGTCTTCCATACCTCAAGGCAGGCTTCTGTATTCTAGTAACAGACTCAAGAGGGCCCTTCCCTTCCAAGGGCTCCCCAAAGATAAGGCTGCAACTCTCCACACCCCTTTTCCACCTGCACCCATTTCCTGCTGGGCTCTGTTCATTTCCAGTACTGGCCTTTTCCATGGGTGGGTGGGCAGGGGATAAAGTTTCCTGCATGACTACTTGCTCATGATTCATACTTTTTAATATAAGCACAACTGGTTGAAAAGGAGGATTCCTGGGTCTTAAATTAGGAAACAAAATTACACACACACACACACACACACACACATCCAAAAAAAGCTCCTGTACCTATAAACCTCCCTGGGGCTTGTCTGGTATATTCTGTGGAAGGTATCCACCCTCATCCTCAGGCACTGACACTCCTACTTGCCTCACTTACTCAACTGCTTGTGGCCAAGTCAAGGAAAAACAGAGAGATGTGAAATGCCTTCTGAGGTTTGCTCAGGGTGTCGCAGCAGCTGAGGCTGGCCCCCTAGAGGTGGGCTCAGGAGTCAAACCTGAAAAGTAAGGTTCCTCTCCGCCCCACCCTCCGCCCCCCCCCCTCCGCCCCCCATATTGATCCTGTGCTACAGTGGCCCTCGTTTGAGCTCCTTACTCCCTAGCTGTTCCGAGGCAGCTTTCTGACAGGACGGGCCAGGCTTCACACTGGCGTTCTCTAGCCAACCCTGCCTGGCTCCTTCCTGGGGGCCCAGAACTGCTGTTAACCTCCTGGAGGAGATGAGAAAGCCTGACCCAGCTACCCTTCAGGTAGGAAAAGGACTTTCTCTGTACTTCCTCCTGAAGGAGAGTTATCAAAACCACCCACCTGGGAAGTTTTCCCTTCCCAGCCCCTCCCTGCCACCATACCAAAAGGAAGCAGGAAAACATCTGTCATCACACCCCCGGATGCTGCTTTTCCAGGGGCTCTAATCAGGATATCCCTCAGCCTTTCCCCAGGGGCGTGTAGCTGGAAAGGGCAAGTGGCGAAGGTACCAGCACCATTGTGAAATTCTTGGCCTAGTGGGGGCTGAGTCTCTAGCTGGTCCCAGACTAGTTTTAGATGATACGGTCTGCCAGTGGCCAGTTCCAGAGAGGGCCCATTACACGTCCCAGGGGATGGTGTACACCCTTGGGTGACCTCAAACCACACCTCTGCTCAGGTTACAGCTAGGTTTCTGGAGGGACTGAGTTGACACCAACACCTCCTCTCTCCTTGGTGTCTATTTCTCTCCGGGGGATGAGTGTGTTTGAGGCAGGGCACAAGAACCAGGACTGGGAAGCAGGGCTCCACATATGGAGGACTGCTGAAGGACAGCTCCATCCCTTTCTCAGAGCCACCTAGGGGCAGCTTAGAGACCTGGAAACTCCCCAATTCAATCCTTTAGGCCTCCCTACTCCGTCTCTGCCCTTGGCAGTGAAACAAAGAAGGGAAATTACAAAGGTGATTTCCAGGTTTCCAGAGTAAACTGAATGGCTGCAGATTAACTGCCAGGATGTGCAGTGTCAGAAGTGGGCAGCCCTGAGGGAGGGCGCAAGGGGACTGGCTCACAACAGCCTCTGCTCTTTTATCAGAGTAGCTCAGACCGACCCAATGCCTGTGAGGCCTCAGTGGTACCCGGGCCAAGGGGGCCTGAGATGCAGCCAGGAACAGAAACCAGAACTCTCAGTCAAGTCACCTGGGCATCCAAGTCACCCTGGCGGAGGATTTCTTCCACTTCTCACTTGGCAAAGGCTGTTAGGCAGGGAGGCGTCCTGCATGGTACTCAACCCTCTGAATTATAGATGCCCCCTGGCTCCCAGCATTCTGGGGTCCCAGCGAGGCAGGCAGCTGTGTCTTAACCAGGCTCAGGAAATGATGCGGGACACCGTGGGTCTCCAAACTGAGCTACTTGCCCTGAAGTTCCTTTATTGTGGGGGAGCCTCTCTCCTAGTTAGCCCGCCTCCCCTGACCTCTGAGGCTTGAAAGAGGAAAGACTTCCTCTGCTGGTGTGTCCCTCTCCTGAGTACCCACCATGGTGATGTTCCATTGGTAGACACTGGGGCTAAACTGAGGAGTGGGCCCAGGCCAGTTGGTCAGGGGTCATCCTTTGCTACTTCCTCTCTATTTCGGTGGCCCCTGCAAAACTCCTTCCCAACCTGGAAAGAGCCAGGAGTGGCCAGAGACTAGAAATGGATTCTCAGGATTGGAGGAGTGGACAGAGGGAGAAAATGGCCACCCAGGGGTTTCCAGGGTACGGAGACCCACTCACTTCTCAAGGTGGGAGAAGCCAAAGACATCTAGCATCCTGTTAGGGATCAGCACCTCACAAAACTCACCTCAGGTAAGGCTGAGGGAAGCAAAAACAGAATCGGGAACTGTCTCTGGCATGGCCCCCCTTCTCCTAAGTCTGGGGAGTTGATTTCGGAGCTCAAGAATAAACTGAATGAAGTGTAATTACAGCTTTGATCCACTTCTTCACTCTAGGGGATCCTCCCCAATGGGGTGGGAGTGAGAAATGGTCCCAGACTGGGTCCGAACACATGTTCCCCATCTAGGCTCCAGGGGGTTTCTGGGGCCACAGGAACAACTGATCCTCCTTGGAAATTTACAAACAGCCCTCTGCTGTAGGGCAGCAGGGACTGAGCCCCAGTCACACGACTGTTTGAGGTGAGCATTCGGCAGACTGGATGCTGGACACGAGACCTCAGCATACGGATTGCAGGAAATCATCTGAACCACTGATGTGAAACTAGACTTTAGTGTGCACAAAGAAACCTCACATTAGTGACGGGGAGAAGAAGGGGGATGGGAGGGCTGCGGCCTGGGAGGGCCTTGGGTGAAGGGGACATGCTGGGTGGGGAAGGAGAGCTGTGGGTGTGGGGTGGGCAGGCAGGGAGAGGCAGGATCCCTTGCCGGGGGGGTCTGGAGAGTGGTGGAGGAAGGCTCTTGTTTCATCAGACTAGACCTCCTCTGGCCTCCGTTCTTTGCTTCCTTCAGTTCCACGGGTCCTGCTCACTCCCTGCCAGAGCCAAGAGCCATGGGCCACTCCTACCCTGCTCCGTTAGATGTCTTCCCAGGGGCTGAAGAATGGGGCCTGTGGCAAGGTGGAAAACGGGGTGTGGTAGCCCTGGGCCCTGAGGTTCCCTGATTCTCCAGGGCCCATTCAACATCCATGACAGCCCTCCTCTGTTCCAGATGCCGAGTGACAGGACTTCCGGGGCTCCCCACAGGCAAGGACAGCAGGGCAGCAGGCCACATGGTCACATCTCTGCCTGGGTTCCCTCTGTTTGCTGCTCACAGTCCCAAGGTAGCGTGAAAGAAAGGTGGGGACTGTCTCCTGGCTTGGCCAGGCCACAAATCGCTTTTCCTTCTTTTCATGACAGTTTCCCACCAAAAGACTAGTGTGATCTAGTTCCTAGGGGACTGAGGGTGAGGTTTGCTCTCCAGCTTTCTCAGGGACTTGCGAAATCTGAGACCCAAGCCACAGCCTGTGGCAACATGTCAGCCCTAAGTCAGAGGTTACAGGGGAAGGACACGCACAGAGAAGGCAGAGGAAAGGCAAGCAGGAGCCAAGGAGCACAGTGGAGGGTGGGCACTCATATCCGTAAGGGCTGGGGGCGCAGAAGGGAAGTGCCCCTAAGCCAGCCGCTGCTGTTTGTCAGAGGAACGGAGGCCAGTGGGAGGGTGCCAGGGTAGGCAGGGCTGGACTGTGCTTAAGTCTGCAGGCGTGGGAGCCAGGCTGGCCCTGCGCCCTGGTTCCGACATTTACACACTGCCTGCCTGCGTGACGGGGCAAGCTATTTAACCTCTCAGTGACTCTGGTTAACTTGCTCATCTGTAAAATGGGGTCATAATAATACCTGCCTCATGGGAGTTATGTGGGTTCATGTAGAAAATGGCTTCGTTCAATAAATGTCAGCTGTAAGTACTATCACCTAGAGTCTGAGAAAATGAGGGTGTGGAGAAATTGGAGGGACCAGGGCAGCCTAGGCGTGTTCCTCCTGGCAGAGTTGAAGGCCAGCTTCTGGACTGCAGGACAAGCAGCCAGAGGGTGGGCAGCTGGTGCCTCTGGTGCCCTTTCCTGGCACTGCTCACGATAAACTGGTCCTTCTAGCCCAGGGTATCCTCTCTCCAGGGCAGTTTCTCTTCGCATGTGCTCTGGAGAGGTCTCTCCGTATCCCCCCCACCACATACTCACACTGAGTATCTGATTCTTGATAAGAATGAAGGTCCTCCAGGCAGGCCCCCTCCCCGCTCTCCACCCGTTTCCCAGCCAGAAGCCCAGAAACGTAGCAGCTGCAGTGGGGGTGGACATGCTCTGGCTCTGGTCAGCCGCCTCACCACTTCCCTCCCCTCTTAGGTCAGGGAGAGAGAGGGGGCACCACCTGCGGCTGGCAGCGGGACAGCAGCTCCTGCCAGCAGATGTAGGTCTGGGCAGCTAGGTCCTTAAGCTTGGTGCGGTGCATGGCCTGGGGGCTCTCCCGGATATGGGTGCTGATGTGGCAGTCCAACTGCATACATAGCAGCTGCAGCTCTCCCTGCAGAGACAATCGTGGATGGGGCGGCCCACCCGGAACAGCCACAGCGGGGGAAGAGGGAGAATGGAGTCAGAGAAAGAGAGGGACGCCTATGAGTGACTGCTCAGAAGTTGGGCAGGAAAGGGAGGAGAGGGACGGGGCAACTGCTTGGGGCATGGTTTGGGAAGGCCCCGTGGGATGCTGGGGAAAGGCAGAGGCCTGCTACCCCCAGCCTCCTTCTTTCTCCGCCTCTTTTTGCACTTTCTGATAGCAGACTGGGCTCCAGACCCGCCAACTGCAGGCAACCCTCTTGGGAGACTCACCCACTGGTCTGGAGTAATGTCTTGGCAGCTGACCACCACCCCAGCAAGTGTCAAGAGGCTGTGACACAGGTAGCAGACCTGGAGAGAGAGCAAGGGAGACAGGCGTCTGTAAGTCCCTCCCTGCCATTCCCAGGCCCTCTGGGGTGAGAGCTGGGCTTCCAGTTTCTTGGGAGGCGTCTTCAAGGAGGTCTCCGAGCCCCACTCACTCAAAGCTCTCCCTCTGGTGAATGACCTTCTTCCCTTCCTTCAGAAAAAGAAGAAGCCCTTCCAACCAGAACCCTCTACTGAACCCAGTCCTGTCCTGGGGCTCCAGCAGAGAAAGCCATTAGGGAGAGGGCCTGTCTACTCTGACCTCTGCTCTGCTCCCTGAGATACCCACCTACGTGTGTGAGCACTGTGGCTGGGTCCCACTCTCCTCTCTGGGGGGATGTGGCTCATAGGTGCCCAGTTTACCCCTTGGCGGAATACCTCCTGCAGAGACAGATGTGCAGCCCCATCTGGACAGTTAAACCATGTTGACATAACGCGGCAGGTGAAGAGAGAGCGGAGGCGGAAGGATGCTTTTGGCTGAGCCTTTGATTGCCTTACCCACCAGTTCACACCCTTGCTCTTGCCCACTGGACACTGAGGGGTGAAAACAGGACAAAGGCCAATTCCATCTGATCTGAGAGTGGTTTGATCCCAGGCGCTCTTAAACTCTCTTGGTGCCCATTCAGTTATGGAACATTCACCTGCTGTGCAGAGAAAATGGGGTACCGGGAGCACTCCAAAGACAGGTGAGGCCCTGGGGTGAGGACAGTCTGCTCCTGGCACTCCGAGGTCCTGTCTGCAGGCACCGCCCCACCTCGGACTCGTGTCTGAGATAGGGAGGGTGGCAGGAAACAACCCACAGACCCACTGCCGTGCACGGGGCAGATAACCAGCCCCGAGGCTGAGCTGGGAGAGAGAGGTGGGCTCTAGCAATGGGACTGGAGCTCAGAACAAGCCCAAGGCTTCCCTGCTCCCCAACTTCCCCTGCCCTACTCGCCCCCTCTCCGACAGCAGAAGGCGGTGCCCCAGAAATTGGGCAGCCTCTTCGTACAGGCCTAAAAGCCTCCTTAGGGCAGAAGCTAGAACCACTTTCGAGGGCACCAGGCTTGGTACTATAGGAATACAGCCTTCTTGAACTCAAATACTGCAGTGCAAAGTCCTGAGGAGAGAGGCCACTTGCCCCTTCCTCCAGCAGCACCTGCCTTGCCCAGACCCAGCCCGTTCTTCATCGCATGGCTGAGGCCCCCAGGTGGCCTGACCCCATAGCCTGGCCAGGTTGGGCTGCACAGCCCACCGTAGGCAGAGAGAAGACACAGAGGGAGAAAACCAGGGGGGCCCTGGGCTGGGGCATCCCCGGCCTCTCTGAGGCAGCTCCAACGCAGGGTCCTGCAGCTGCCAGCACCCAGAGTCCTCCAGCAGGCTGGCTCCCCAACCAGGAAGCTGACTTGCTAGCAATCCCTTGCTCCCTAGGTGCTCTCTGTCCCCATACTGGCCTTGCCCTTTGGAGGGAGGGCCACAGGATTTGGAACCCCTTCTGGCCTCTGCAGTCCTGCCAAAGGGCTCACTGCCACCCCCTCCCCGACCTTGGACGTAAAGCCGCCCCTCAGGCCTGTGTGCCAGACACTACGTGAACTAAGACACAGCCACAAACACTCAGACATTAGAGGGAGAAAGATACTTCAGGAAGGCGATCATTTGGTCAACAAATCCTGAATTTCAGCTTCCCTAGGGAGCAAAAGGAGAAAGCGTCCTTCTAAGTTTTGGGAGGGGGGAGGGGGGTGGGGGGCAGGTTGTAAGCCGCTCAGAAGGTTTGAGGGGGAAGTGACTAAGCTAAACCAGGCTTCTAAGGAACAGTAAGGCCTGTGGTGAGGTTGGCCCTGTGAGGCCAGGGCAGGGCTGAGATTATAGTACCAGACAGACCCCAGGCAGCGGGGTTGGGGGTGCTGATTCAGGGAAACAGAGGCAGGCGCCATAGGGGACTGCCTGCCAGGAAGCCAGCCAGGGTGGGGCAAGGGGCCGGGCACCCTGAGGACCAGGTTGGCAGCAGGGATCTGGACAGTAGGTAGTAGAGAGCAGGGAGGCTGGCTTGAGTCACCCCAAGATTGCCTCAGGTATGCAGATTGTTTTGAGCTAAAGGCAGGCAACTTTAGCCTCAGGCTCAAGAGAATTTTCTCCCCCTCCTTTTATTTTAACTACCTGGAAGAACTTGAATTAGGGGCCTTGCTTAATTTCACCTATAGATAGGTCACAGGAGATAACTTCTTTTTGGCCCATCTATAGGTCAGGGCAAACATTTTCTAAATGTCTGTTCATATCCCGAAAGGACCCTTGGAAGCCCCTAAGGTACGTTACCTTATCCCTAGCTCAGAATGTCCTGTATACCTCAGTCTCCCTTTCTATCTCTGAACCTCTCCTGCATGTGGGCCTCTGACTCTCTCCTTTATGTGCGATTCCCATACATGCATATGTATTAAATGTGGTTATTTTCTCTTGTTAATCTGCCTCATGTCTATTTGATTATTAGACTAGCCAGAAGACCCTGGTGGATAGAGGAAAGTTTGTTCTTTTCCCCCATGGGGGACAGGCGGGGAGCACCTGGGGGAAGCCAGGAGCCACTGACATGGAATGCCTCAGAGTGACAATGTGGCTCTGACAGAAAAGATTATAGAATATCTTTCTTATTCTTTCTTTTCCCCTTAAGATTATTTCTTTACGATGTGTGTGCTCTACTCATATAATCAGAATACAATGAAAGTTGTTAAAAAATAATTTTAAATAAGACAGTGCCAACTAGAATTGACTAGGTCTAGTTGGGTTTGGGGTGGGAGTGGGGCGGGGAAGAGGGGCATGACCTTGAAAAGAAGCAGCGCCCTGGGGACTGATGCTCCTCTTTGAGAGGGCTTTGAGTAAGCGGAGGGTGAGGTGGCAGGAGACACCAAGAAAATGTTCAAGGTTAACGGTCTGAGGGAGACGGTGAAAGGAGCCTGTCTGCAGGGGGTGGGGCAAAGAGGGAGAGAAAGGGGTGGGCTCTCAGCCCATTCATTTGTTAATTGTCCCAGTGCTGAGGTAGGGGCAGTGGCTTTCCTGCCTGCCCAGAAGCTCAGGTAGAGGACTCCGCAATTCAGAGACACTCCTCCCAGCCCCAACTGTACACAAAAAGCCAGGGGCTAAAAGAGACCTCAAGCCAGCCTGGGGTGGGTTCCTGGGGCCCCAGGGACCGTGCAGGGTGCGGTGCGGGCGGGCCTAGGATCTGAGGAATGTCCTGGAGGAAAATCTGTGAGGAGGGATTTACTGAGGAAAAAAAGAGACTACTTGGATGCAAGTTTCACCCCTTTGTTTGTACGCTGATTCGCATAACTGAATCTGGAGGGAAAATCCCTGGAAACTATTCTGAATGTGTTTTGGGAGGTGGGAGTGGTGATAGCAAGAAGGAAATGGCAGCTCCGAAGAAAAGCCCCATTAACCACATTTTATTGGACGATTTTCCAAAGGGGAAAAAAATCACCTGCCTGCTACCTGGACGAGGGCGACCCCCTGCCGTGGGGCTCAGTGAGGGGGGCCTTGAAGGAAGACTTTGACCCCACTGAAGGGGATAAGGTTCTGAAACCGAGGGTCCTTACGACTTTGATTAAATTTAGTTTTAAAACCTAGCACTGGAAATCATTTCTCTCTCTCTAGACGCCTCAGAGACCTAGCTTTCCCCCCAGTAATCAGCAGCCCCCAAGGCGGCAAAAGACAGCGGCCTGGACCTGACTGGTGACCACAAGCCTGGACCTCTGGTGGCTAAAGATAACATCTTTTTTTCCCCATTGTATTTTTTTCCGTCACCATTCGTCCCCCTTAACCCCCTCCCCAAAAGATAACATTTTGACCTGATTTACGTTTCAGCTTCTCAGCCCTAAGGTGGAATTACCCCCTGACTGTGGTGAAACCAGACAGAAGGGTGCTGCAGCAGGCCTCAGAGCTGTCCTCAAGGCCTAAGAAAAGACCCATCACCCTTACCTAACCTCTGACCAGCCAGCTCCCAGCACGACCCACACACCTAATCCACAGTCTCTTGGGTTTTGCCATATATAATCTGTAACATACACCCCATTGGGAACTCAGGATTCAATATTAAACTATTTTTCTCTTGTGGGGGTCCAGAACGAGTCACCCCAAGATGTCCCTCTGTGGCATGCAGATTGGCGTTACAGGCAATTTAGCCCAAGGCTCAGCAGAAACTTTTGCCCCCATTGGTAACTGCATAGAAGAATTTGAATTAGAGGCCTTGCCCATATCAGCAATAATCTTCCCACTTACGTGGCAGGGCCAACTTCTATTTACTAAACATCTGCTCTTCTTATCATCCTATAATGACACTTGGAAGACCCCAAGGCACATTATATACGTTAATTCCCCTTTCTATCTCTAAGCCTCTCCTGCATGTGGGGTCTCTGACCTTCATGTACGTCGGGTTCCCATACATATGTATTAAATTTGGTTAACTTCTTTTGCTAATCTGTCTCAAGTCTATTTGATTATTAGACCAGCCGGAAATTGTGAACCCTGAGAGCAGAGAAGTTTGTTCCTCCTCCACACTTTCTGTGCTGCAAACTCCTGCCCATGCGTTTCTTTGGGACAGTGCACACAGGTAGGACTCAAACACTGGGGTCCCCGTAACAGTTCCAAACGTGGCCAGAGTCATCATGGACAGTCTGTGTAGGAGTGCTTTTGGGGGAAAAAAAGGCCTCATTATGTGCTTCAGACCATGTCCTGCCCTCACTTCCTTGAGACTTGAAGTCTCAGCCTTAAGGGGAGGATCTGAACTCACCCAGACAAAGGGACAGACAATTGCCCTGGGTGTATGCACGGTCTCTTCTGAAGCCCCAGCCTCCCAGCCTCCTCCCCATGTCCTGTTTTTTGTGCTGCTCAGAAAAGCAGACGTTAGTGGACACAACTCTGGCTCAGAGGAGGCTGAACTCGAGTCTCCATCCTCTGACAATCCCGCTGGTGCCTGGGGGGCCCGAGGCTGGCTAGGGAGTGCCAGCTGCGGTGACAGCCATCCG